GGCAAATTAGATCTCCCTAGGCAAACCTGCAAATTGCACGACACACACAACAACTGCGACGAGGCTTCTATCTTCTTCTCGTATTGCACTTGGCATTCGGATCTCCACAGCTCTGTGTGTGTGCGTAGCCACACGTAGATATCACCCACTCACGGCGAAATTGACTGCCTCGTCGCGGTGGCATTTTGTGTCGCAATTCGCTGAGGTGCAAAGAGGCAGACCATCCGCCGCCTGTTCCCCGTGAAAGGAGAATTGACGCCACCGCATTCTCCCCTGCAACGTAAATATACGCTGCGCCCAGCACGTGGCGCGGTGGACGTGAATTCCGAGAGGGAACTGTTTGCCACGCGACTGGGCCGCACGGGACGCAGCCTGCAAAGGCAGGCGCAGACGCCTCCGCCTCCTTCCGTCGTCGTGGCGGTGGAACCCACAGCTTCTCAGGGTGCCGTTGCAGTTGGCGGCGCCGCGCTTCAAGACAACACTCCCACACGCAGCGCACTGTCTTCGCAAGGAAAGGAAGAATGAGTCACAGCGCACAACTATTCCTTTGTCGTTGTCTCGCCTTCTTCATAGCCACAGAAAGCACTGCCAGCACCAACTACGAAAGCATCCTCCACGTGCACTGCAACATATATATATCGTGTATGTGTGTGTGCCTGCAAATACAAAAATTGAAAGAAAGGAAAGAGGAGCAAAGCGTGTGAGAACGCACATACACACACAAAAGAGATGCAGGAGGCAAAGATGGAAAAACTAGATGACTAAAACTCAAAATGGCACCGCAGCACGCACAGTGGCAACACACAAGTAATATGGTTCAACAAAAAACAAAAACAAAAATTACTCTTAAAAACGCTTCGTTTACACAAAAAATTACTCCAAAAACCTTTTTTACAAAAGAAAAATACTATCGTGGAAGGCCCCTGTGCAATCCCCACAGTTCCACTCACATTTTGGCCGCATATTTTAAAAAATGATATATTCATTTAAACCACCGAAAGGCCCCGGTGTTCAGAGACCGTTTAACTTTCACAGGGGCCCGCAGTGCGTTGCTGTGGCCTTCATTCCTTCCTTTATTCCTTTTTCCTATCGGCGGACACACAATGCCGAGAGCGTCCGCAGACGCTCAACGAAGGCGGTTAGTTGTTTTTCTTCGTGTTTTTTCGAACGAATTCGATGGCCTGCGCGTCAGCCGGCACCGTGGCACACGTCCGCACCGCGAAAAACCAAGACGTAAAAAAGAGAGACCCCGGTCCCTCCCGTGGTGACCGCAGTGCAGGGGCGCAGTGAAGCATCTCCCGCCGCCAGGCAAACGCGCAGGCTCAACGCCGTCGCCAAGAACGAACCGACAAAACAACAACCAACAAACCAACGAAAATAACACATCCGCAAATCAATCAACCAACAATATACGGAACCAATACACACAAAAAAAAATTCAGTGACTGGTCTCCAGTCATTGCTACAAACAAACAACATAACAAACAAAAATGGGCACAATAAAATAAACACATGAGGATTGCGCCGCGCTAGTGCTGAGGGGAGAGCGCAATTTGTGTGTCCAAGAAAAAAAAAAAAACGTCTTAGCGTAAATTAAAAAAAAAG